GACTTGCAGTTCCAGAGGATCCCACAACAACTGGCTACCCCTGGGAGTGTGCCTTTTGACAACGCACGAGGCGCCCTGGAGCCTCTTCCTCATTTTCCCAGGGGCCGCCCGAAAACACAATGCACAATTGCGCGAAAGAACGATACGCGTGTCCACCAGGGGGGGGGGGTTAACCGGGGCCCCCGCGCTCCCTCCACCTGCTTGAAACAGGCTCCAAAAACAGCCAAGATCTACTTCATGAGGGAGGCAGGGGGAATAGCGCGGTACACGGTGTGGGCACTTCAAGTAAGTGGATGTCTTGTAGAAGCTCGATTCGGTGATGTGCGGTATGGTATGTTGTGCGGTGTTTTGTGTATGGTGAGGAAATGCGGGATGAGGAGGGAGAGGGAAGGCGGGAAAGAACATAAGGAATAATAACAAAGAACCTGAGATAATCATACGGGAAAACGAAACCTGGGAAACACTTTCAATAACTAAGGTTCTCTTTGAAAAAAACTGGGGGGAAACGAAACATCGCTAAAGCATAAAAGAAATCAGAGGTGTTCCAAGACCGAAGGAACAAACGAAATAATCATTTTAGGGCAACCTTGTGTTTGGTTGTATGGCTCATACTTTTCCTGGGGGGAAAAACAAACAAGAAAACAAACAAACGTGCGGAAGCTTACTGGTAACCTCATGTTTCTGAAGTTCGTTGTGTTGTGCATGTTTCCGAAAGCCTTGGCTTCCTGGTGTTTTTTCCGGATCAAAAAAATCGGCTTCCCTGGAAAATTCGGGAAGAAAGATATGTCATTCAGCTGTTGTTGTTTTTTTTCTGGTGTTTCTTTGAAAACCAATGCTTCATTTGATGTGTACGGTTTTTATGACTGTGTGTTGCTTTCTGTTTTTTGAGAAAAAATGGCCTTGGTTCCTCAATGTTTTTCCCCTGAGGTTTGCTGTCCCTTATCCTCGATGAGTTCCGTCGCTCTTCCTCCTGATTCTCTGTCTCTCCTGCCCTCCTTCCCTCCCTCCTCAACCTTTCATCCCATCATTAGCATCGCATGTCCGGCGTTTTTGTTCTTCCATTATTGCAATGATTCGTCCGGTTGCAACCTGTTGCAATGTTCCTGTGCGACGGAGCTACCCTCTCGGGGCAATCTGCTGCGACAGAGCACGACCCGCGAACTCCGTGGCCATTGTGGCCCATGCGAAATTGCAGATGCATCCAGCGTTGGTGCACAACGGCTGTCGTAAACCGAGCATACGAGCGCTGCACCAGAAAATGGTGACCACTGAACCGACCATTGTTTGCCACTGCATATCTTATCGTGTACTCAACCATGTACTGTTTATGGGATGCTGCAGTGATGACGGCGATTTGACACGCGAAGGCCATGCTGAATTGAAAAAGCATGGGTTGAAAGATGCGCGAACATGGGGTGACGCATTCTGGCTTAACCTCCCACAAACCGCACAACAGCTGTTTGAAACGTTCTGGCGACGAAATACTTGCAAGGTTGAATTTTAATCATTCGCCGTCTTGCTTAAAAGCCCACCAAATCTGACAGTTCAAACAACTGTGCGCCGCGCGAAAACAGCATCTTGGAAAGAGGTGATCAGACAATTCATTTTGATGCGGAAAGATCTCAATGATGGTTTGCACGTTCTCCAGTGTTTCATGTCGATGGTTGCTGCCGATGCGACTATGACGGGCGAGGAAGCTGGGAAAACGACGATGCAATACACATATGCCAATGCCAACGGCTTTGCATCGGAACGGCAAACAGCTGATATGTTACATCGTTTGTTGCAAGTTGTTGATCAGAAGTTGACCGCAAAAGATTTGCACCTGTGCGTTGCAATAATTGGATCGCATCCTCGGGCGGGGTACCAGACGCCCCCCGGTGAAGACACCACCAAAGGAGCCGACCAAACGCATGCCGTTGTTGCGTATATGTACTAAAATTTGTCGGAACGGCTTGGTCACACGGCGTCCCCCATGCAGGCGTATGCCAACATGCCGCTTCGTCGCCTCTGGTCCCAAGCGCATCAGGTAGAGTTGGACCGTGCGCGGTTGGATGCATACTGCGGCGATCGGCGCGACGGAGATTTCACTCGGCGTCAGGTAACTCGTCCAGACATGCTTCAGGAGAGGAAAAAACACAGAGACACAATGAATCGTCGATCCCCCAGAAAATATTGGAAAATATGGGAAGTGGTGGGGAAGACAAAAACCCAGAGAATATGAGAAAATATGGGGACCCCTTTTTTATTTGTGTATCTATTTGTGTGTCCTTGGGCCCCTTCAATGCTGCCTCTCGGATTGCGGCGATCCCCGTGCACATTGTATAAAGACGGGCGTCACAGACGCCGTTTTGAGGGAGAGCGCGTGGAGGATGTCGCCGCCGATGCCTTCCTGCGCGATGCGGTGCGATGTGCAACTCATGCGCGCGGCTGCGCCCAGGCGTCTGGGCTTGCTCCAGGCACAAAGAAAAAGCAACGCGATCGCCGTTTTGGTACTGGGAGACGGCGCTGCAGAAGATCGTCGGTGCGAGCTGGACCGCGGTCGCAGGTTGCCACGGTTACGGAAACCGACGAAAACGAGGTTGCCCGATCACACGCATGAGGCGCATGCGCAGCGAAACGCATGCATAAAGAAGTGCGCCGTCGCCGTGTTTGTTGATGCTGTCGCGGCAGGGATGGATGAAGACGTTACAGCATGAAAGACTCATTGTCGCTATGACGTTCATATTCATTGCCGCCATCGTCACATCATCGTATAGACCAGCTCTCGCCCTTTCTGGAACCAGCCACGCCGGATTTTTGCCCGCGGCAGCGGCGTTTTGGCTCGCCCCATGACCTGGAGATGGGCACCGAGCATGCGAATTGCGCATTCGGTTAAGGGGCGGGGCCATGTGACCCGTGAGTCCCCATGGTGGCGTTGTGCCCGCTCTCCCTGGGGAGCAAGTCCTGTATCGCATGTCAGCTCATTGGGCAGGGGGTGATAGCAGGGAAGGACCTCGCAGTCGAGGTGAACCGACCGTCCCCCTACGAAGCACGCCCTCTCAGTTGAGAGTCAGTCGTTGGGCGACGAGGTGTATCCTTATCCCCTGACCGTCGTGGGCGGCGTCTCCGGGCCCCTTATGTTCCTCCTTTTCTGCGGGAGGCAGAGGGCAACGGGCGCTTTCAGTCCGTCGCTTCTTTGATTCAAAACTCCAGGACTTCTTTTTCAGATCTGCAAGCAGGTCGGCTCGCCGTGGTCGAAGGCGGCCGTGCGGTCATGCAGCAAAGCAAGCATGCAACGCCTACACTGCGCGGAGGAGGAAGCGGAGTAGAAAGAGGAGAAGTTGGAGAAGGAGAAGGGGGAAGACAAAGAGGACGAGAATGATGGAAGTTTCTGGTTAACCAGAGCTTTATTGAGTGGCCGTCAGCCAATCCCGCCGTCGTGCCTGAAACGTGGCCGAGATGATGTTTTTTGGAATTGCGTTGGCAGCCCACTCCTTTGCAACTGTTTCCTCCTCCTCCTCCTCCTCCTCCTCCTCCTCCTCCTCCTCCTCCTCCTCCTCCCTCGTCCCTCCTCCTACATCATCCCTCCTCCCTTCCTCCTGCGTGCTCTCTCTGCTCAGTGGCAAGGGGGAACTAGCCGACGTGCAAGGGAGAGATAGAGAGAGGAACATCATTCATGCATTCAATAAGTGCGTGCTACTCCGCCAAGCCCAAGTGAACTAGGACACGCACGGTTCGTCGTCTCACAAGAAAGCCGGGAGGTGTACCACCCCATTCCCAGGCTCTCCCATGGGGGGGGCGCGAGGGCCAGCGCCTATCTGCACACCAATACCTCGTGTATTTGTCGATTTCGTGCGTGTTTTTTCTTCGCCAAATGATCAATGATGGTCCTCGATGGCCGTCGCCGAGAACCATGCACACGTCCGAGCGATGCCAAGATACGAAACGATCGCGATTAAGACTCTACTACCAAAACGGTAGCTCCTATAGCCCTGCTATTTTTAATTGAGCCGTTCCGTCCCCCTGGCATCCAAAAAGGATACACGAATCGCGGGAAGGTGGTAGAGCCGATGTTTCGTTTGAGAGGGGAAGTACACGTGGTGGGAACTATGTCGTGTCCTGTGTGCGGTGTGCTGTGGGAGCTGTGTCGTGTCCTATGTGCGGTGTGCGCTGGAGGTGAACGCTATGCGGTGCAAGCTGCGTGGTGCAAAGCAGGTGTAGTGGGCGCTGTGCTGTGCGGTGCAACCTCCGCTGTGCACGTCGTGCGGTGCCAGCTGCGTGGCGTGAGCTCCTCGCACGGAGGGCGCCCCGCGAGCGCGCACGGGGCGACGCACACGGCGACGCGGCGCGGCCTCGGCGACCCACCCGGCGCACGGGGCGCCCGCGAGGCCCACGCGCGCGGCGGCACGGGCGGCAGCGCGGCACGACCCTCGGCGGACCCACCCCGGCGCACGGGGCGCCCGCTGAGCACCCCGCGGGACGGCGCGGGCGGCAGCGCGGCGCGACCCTCGGCGGACCCCGCCCGTGCGCACGGGGCGCGCACGGGCGGCAGCGCGGCGCAGCCCGGGCGGGCCCACTGCAGCGCACGGGGCGCCCACGAGCGCACGCGAGGCGCCCATCGGGGAAGATCATCGGCGGAGACGTCGGATGACGTAAGCAACCGAAGAGAGACACGCACGCACAAAAACGCGGACATGAAAACGAAACGGAATCCGTCGCCATGTTCTTGGGCACATGTGAGGCGCGGACGAATGCACGAGGCTGGTTTCAGAAAACATCTCTGCGCGCACCGCCCCCCCGCCCGAGGTGCGGTACATGGTTTCTGGATCTGAGGGTCGAACAGCACTGCACAGTACCACTCCTGGGCCACTGATCGAAAAGCAGCTGCTGCTGGAAAGCACCCCGAGGCCAGCTGCAGGAAAGCAACCCGAGGCCAGCCGAGAACCCACGAAGCCTCAGGAAAACCCCAGGCTTCGACCCCGAGATTTCCCCGAGGGAGGGCGAGGCGGCGGGGGCGCCTCCGACAGCCCTCCGACCACTGGCAGCCCCAGCGGCACGTTCCGCGACAGTCGGCTCCGCAGGTCCACCGCCCCGTCGTGCGCGCAGGGGCCTCCGAGGCTCGGGCGCCGCCGGCATCGTCGTCGCAGCAGCCGCCGCCGCTGGAGGGTTCGAGGAGGATGTCGTGGAGCGATCTGAGGCCAGGGCTCCTCCAAGTTCGCGCATCGCGCTGCGCGAAGCGCCAAGCAAGAATGGCTTCGCGCCTTCGCGCCGCCCCCCAAGGGAGAAGAGGACGAGGAGTCGGAGCCGAACCGCGAAGCGCGAGGCGCGAAGAACCTCGCGCCCTGGAGGGCGCCCCTGCCTAAGGTCGGGCAATCAGGGCCGAAACGGCCCATCATATTCGGAGGACCCCTCGTCTTCCGACCCCTCCTCCCCACGGCCCCACCGGGTCTTTTTGGACGCCCGAAGTGGGTGCGGAAAAATGGGTGCAAGCAATGCCCAACAAGAAATGTTGTCCCGAACCAACAGCGGCCACTGTTGGGCAGGCGGCCTTCTGTCTCGAATGGACACAGGCAGCGGCGGCGCGGACAGCGAGTCCTGTTCAACATGAACAGGAACTGTTGTTGGGCATTGTACCCATTCTTTCCGCACCCATTTCGGGCGTCCAGAGTCCTCACCCCCAGGGCCTGGACCTGCACGAGGTCCCGCGCCACGAGGCCGAATGCCTTCCGCACATCCGAGAGGGCTCCAAGAGGGAGGGGCTACGGCAGTGGCGTGGGGGTCTGACCGACCCCCTCGGGCGCTGCTTCACGGGGGGGGGGGGGGCAACATGAAGGGGCCCTGGAACACACAAATGAATAGACACAAATAACAGGATTCCCCATAGTTTCGCATATGTTCTGGGCGTTTGTCTTCCCCCCCCGCTTCCCATATGTTCCCATATTTTCCTGGGAGTCGACGATTAATTGTGTCGGTGTGTTGTTCTCCCTCCTGACAGTCGGCGGGAGGGGAGGGGGGCAGAGGGGTGCACCCCTCGTTCACCCGCGGGGCACAGGGGGGCCCCTTCGGGGCCTGGGGGGGGGGCCCTCGAAGGCCCCTTGCCTGCAGCCCCCCCCTCCCCGCCTTACCGCACCCCATAGCAAGACGCCCGACCCCCCGCGTCTGACCCCGCGTCCAGGCACCTCGCAATCGCTCGGACGTCCATTCCCCGTGCATGCTTCGATGTCGTGCGCTTATCTTTCGCATGATGATCCCGTATGCTCCTCGATGGCCCTCGCCGAGATCCGCCGACCCTGTCGGCGTGTGTGAGGGGCTTGTCTGTTCGAGTCGTCGTCTTCGTCGTCCCCTTTTCCTGCACCCTCCTCCTCAAGCTCGTCAGCGAGAGACCAATCTGGCAATGTCATAATAGTGTGGAAGGGAAGCCCCTTCCCTTTGATCTCCCCCGTCGGAGGGGGGGGGGCCCTTCGGGGGGGGGGGGGGGGGTTCTGGCGGGGTAGGGGGGGTTGGGGGTGGGGTCAGATACGCATCCCCCCCTGGGGGGCCTGGGGCCTCAGAAAGTACCAAGGCAGGCCAGGAGTGCCCCAAGAGGCCACCGAGACGGTCCAAAGAGGGCCCCCAATCGCCAAACTATCGGTCCAAAACGCCTGCACGCCCTCCAGACTGCCCAGGAGGCCTCCAAGACGTTCCAAGAGGCCTCTAAGAGCACTCCCGAGAGGGGGCCCACGAGGAAAAATAGATTGATTCCCCGTTGCTTGTTCAAGGATTTAGGCGTTCTCGCCTGTTTCGCTCCACGCCGCTCCAACACGGCCCAAGAGGCCCCCAAGATCGCCCCAAGATAGCCCAAGAGGGCTCCAAGACGGCCCCAGGCATCCCAAGAGGACCCCAGACACCCCACAACGCCTCCAAGGCGGCCCGCCCAGGAGGCCCCAGGACGGCTCCAAGAGTGCGCCCAGACGGAGGGCCCCAAATGACAGTTCGAGCCCTCCGCCCTGAGAGGCTCCCAGGAGGCCCCAGGAGGCTCCCAAGAGGCCCCCCAGAGGCTCCCAAGAGGCCCCCCCGAGAGGCTCCCGAGAAGCCCCCGAGATCCTCCCCAGAGGCCCCCGAGAGCCTCCCGAAGAGACCCCAGGAAGCATCCCTGAGGACTCTGCCGCACGTCGGCGTCCTCGTCGTCGCCGCCGCCGCCGCCGTCGTCGTCGTCCCCCTTCAGGGTCGGCGGCACTGGCCGTAAGGCCTTCGCAAGACAATGCACACGTCCGAGCGATGCCGAGGGGACTGGAAAGGAGACTCCAAGGATCGACGCCGTCGGCATCGTCGTCGGCGCCACCGCCACTGTCGGCCGGAGTGCTCAAGAGGGGGGTCACGGCAGGCTCGCATCGTGACGACCCCGCTGTTGGTTTCTGACACCGCATGGATCGTTCAACCTTCACGATCGGCGGCGTTTCGATCGCCAGATCATTCCATTCGGCGACTCCGAAGGGTGTGGTTTGCAAAGGACGTGGCTTGCGACCAGCCCCCTGAGGGACACGCTGGGGGGCGGGCGAGTACCTCGACGGAGCTCTCCGCCGCGCCCCGAGGAGGCCCGAGGAGGACAGTGTCGTGCCTTCCAGCCCCCAATGGCGCCGATCGCAAACCACACCACGGCGCAACCTAGAGGAGCAAAAAAAAACTGCATCAACATAAACCTTTGACTGGCCCCCCCTCCCCAGCGCGCAGAGAGCGCCAGGCGCGACGCTGGAGGCGCCGCCAGGGGGGCCCAGCGCGATCCAGGAAATCCGCGCGGAGCGCCCAAAGGTAATGCTCATGCCGCTTCGTCTCCTTCGACTGCTGGCCGACCCTGGGCCCCGCCGTGGGCGCCCGCGCCGGGGCCGCAGCCGCGGCGACGCGCGAGAACCGACCGCGGGGCGGAGGGCGCCGGGCCCACCCTCGGCGGTTCACTCAGCCCCCTCCTCTGCCGAGCAGCCACAACTGGGGGAGCTGTGGTCCTCACCCCCCTGGGGGAACCCATCGCATCGACGATCTCTCGAGAGGGGTGTCGAAATCGATGGGTCCCCCAGGGGGGTATGGACCGCAGCTCCCCCAGCTGTGGCTGGCCTGCTCCGGTGGCTGACCCTCGGCGCTTAACTCAACCCCTCCTCTGGTGGCTGGACGGGGGGCCTGCCACAGAGCGTCGGCCCGACCCTCTGCCCGGATCCCCTCTTCGGCGGCGAGCGAGGGGGGGGGAAGTGCGAGGCAGAGCGCCTTCTCAGAAAGCGGCGGGGCTCCTCCGAAGCCCTCGGGCCTGCCGAGAAACCTTCCGTGCCTTCGGGGAAGGCTTGGGAAACTTCTCAGAATGCGGGCAAGATTTATATCCATATCCAGTGCGCCTTCGATATTTTTGGAAGGGGCGCCACAAGGCCGAGGCGTACTGGACATGGATAAAGATCGAGCCTCTAGGGGGCAAATTTATCCATATCCAGTGCCCCTCGGGTTTCTGGGGAAGGGAGCCCGGAACTCCATACTGCAATGGATATGGACATAAGTACTGCTCGCACAGAAGGCCGGGGAACTTCCGCGCCTTCTGAGAAGGCCCGCCCCCTCTCCCCCCCGGGCTCGCCGCCGATGACCCCCTGTGGAACGCTCCGGGTCGGCGCCGGGTGCTGAGGCAGCCGGGTGCCTGATGCGACGTGGGCTGGCCTGGAAGAGCCTGGCGGCGAAGGCGAGGGGCGGGCCGTACGCTCTGGGCTCCCCCCTTGGGCGATCGGCCCCTGGCCGCAGCGCAGTGACGGCAGGCTCGTGCTGTGCCGACTTCGGCGTTGGTATCCGACACCGCCCGCGGAGGATCGTGTCCGACACGTCGGATAGCACGGGACGGCATAAATGACCACAACCACTGCTTTTCTTCTGCTGCCGCCTTCCAGCCAGCAGATGCAAAGCAGTGCTTGTGGCCATTTTCGTTAAACTTGCTTCTGCTCCGTTCCCGCGGGGGGCCGCGCGGGGGGAACAATCGGCAAGTCATACCCGGCACCGGGGGTGGGCAGTAGGAGGCGGAGGAGGAGGAGGAGGAGGAGGAGGAGGAGGAGGAGGAGGAGGAGAGGGAGGAGGAGGGCGGAGGAGGAGGAGGAGGAGGAGGAGGAGGCGGAGGGGCAAGGCCCCCGAGATGTTGTTCCCCACCACTGCTTCGTTCTCGGCCGGCTGGAAGGCGGCGCACGCTGGCGGCGGGGTCGCCGCCGGTCGGCACGCCGCGAGCCGACCGCAGCCGCCCACCTCGGAGCCGCGGGCCCCCCCCCTAATGGCCGAGCTGCCGGCGCGTCCTCGGGGCCTGCAAGGCCCCGAGGCCTCCCGCCGAGCTGCAGGCGCCCGCGGATATATATATATATATATATATATATATATATATACATACATACATACATACATACATACATACATACATACATACATACATGCATGCATGCATGCATGCATGCATGCATGCATGCATACATGCATACATGCATACATACATACATACATACATACATACAGACATACAGACATACAGACATACAGACATACAGACATACAGACATACAGACATACAGACATACAGACTGACAGACTGACAGACAGACATACAGACATACAGACATACATACATACATATGTGTGTAGAGAGAGATAGGTAGATTGCTAGATAGATATATACATATACGTATACATGGAAAATATAGATACATTTAACTCTCTATATATATATACATATATATACATATATAATATCCAGCAGTCGGGGGCGAACGGCAGCCTGCGCCCCAATTCGGTCGGCCCCGACGGAGCGGGCCGAGGCGCCGCCGCGCGGCGGGAGCGCGTCGCGCGCGCGGCCCCCCGGGGGCCTGAGGGCAGGAACACGACCTCGTCGAGGCCGCAGGCGTAGGCGCCGCTCCCTCGCGGGGTGGCCAGCGAGGGGGGCCCACGGGTGGAGCCGTGGCCACGAGAGCGCGGGTCGGGCCGGTGCAGATACAGTCGAGGCGTTGACCCAAGGAACGATAAATAAGGAACGAGG